CATTAAAGTGAAATATTATACTTATATATATGTATATGCAATATATGCAAATATATGGATAATGATTATATGGGAAAAAAAAGAGAAAAGACAAAAGTCATATATATTGAATTGAAACAGATGTAAATATAAAAAGGAAAAAGTATATGCATTCAAATTATAGGAGATCACCCCTGTATAGTATTAGCTGGGGAAGCAACGTAACCGTCCACGTTAAATGGAAATGAAAAAGGAAATGTAGGTGGACGTACATTTGGTACATTTAGACGATGCTCCTATACTATTGAAAATGGAAACGGAATGCATGTTATAGTTAAAAATGAATATATATTAGAGTGTTATAAATGTTATACATGAATGTTATATGATATGTACAAATGAATGAATAAAATGAAATGAAACAAAAAAGAAAATGTATATTAAATGTTAAATGAATAAACCTATATGAAAGATTATTTGTATTGTACTTATAGAAGTTACCCATTGAGTTTACTTTGTTAATTTATTCCGTTAATTAATTATTTTTAGGTAAATCTCCAGAGAAATAGAAATGTCTGATAGAGGAGAGGAATATGACCACAGAAGATGGCATGCAAATGCAAACAGGTAATCTATAGTTTGTGATATGTTGAATATTTGAGAAAATTTTGTAATTAGTGGATCTTCAGTTTCTTTGAGAAGTTGTAAGTTAATTTGTTTATGATATGAATTGAATTGTTACAATCATTGTTTAAAATTGCTCAATATGAGGCTTGCCTTTAGGCCTGCCTCTGCGTAACTGCAGTGAAAAACTCCTCAAGACTTACACCTCGAGTTTTTTTATGAGGCTTGCGCATTAGCTTGGTTAATGCTCGCCTTGAGGCACGCCTCACCTCACTGGCGTAAGGCTTATGCCTTATCTTATATATATATAAACTTACATAAATCCTATAGTGAAGCCCCAAACAAATTATAATTCGTGCACCCCCGAGTCGCAGCAACTTCCTCTCAACTGCCTTATCCTCTAGCCCGTTGCATTCGCCACAGCTACCACTGTCATAGTTGCCGTCAAGGATAACTTGAAAGCCGCACACCACTACCTCTAAAAATTTTAGAGTATTAATCTCATCTTTATGTTGACAAAAAATATTTATGAAGGGTAAGATGCCTCAAATAAATGAAGAAGTATATTGGGAGGTATTGTACTCCACAGGATGAGACAGGAGAGTCCAATTTGTTATAATGACGATTCAAATAAAGATCCTCTCAGTGATGACAATACATATGTTTTTCTAGTTGTTGCCAATTATTTTAGCATTTTTTAGAATTTAAATGTGGATGAGTAGGGAACTGAGAAAAAAGAATTTAGAGTTGTACTTAATGTTATATGTTGTTTTTTTGCAGTTTTTATATTTAATGCTCATGTAATATTTGTATTTCAATTATATTTCATACAATTTATCGTTAGCCACTTTGCATCTTGTACAATTTTTTATTTCATATGTATGTCGTTGTGTTACTTCTTTGTTCAATAGAATTATAATATGTCATCTTTTGACATATTCTTTGTCTATTATATAAAAATTTACTTTTAATAATTATTTGCACTTAACACAATTTTTTATTTTGAGGCTTACGCCTCGCCTCATGAACAAAAAATGTCTTAATGCCTAATTCCGCAATTTTAAACATTGGTTATTATCATTCGATTTTTTGTTCCCGCCTTGGTAAATTAAGTTTCCGGACCGGGTCATGACAACATCTATGGAGAAATCTTCTACATTCGCCTCCCGATTAGGTATGCTATTTGAACTGAAAATGTTCATGCATACCTAACCGATAAGCATACTCCATTCCTGACATTCAATTCGCGACATCTAGACCACACCAAAGGCTTCGTTCATGACCTCCAGTTTGCAATTCACGTCACACCGTTTGCGACAAAAATTAAGATAATAACATGGAATATAGGTTCCCTTACATGCAAATTAATGGAATTATTATATATTTGATTCATAAGAAGATAAATATTTTTTGCATTAAGGAAATTTGGGTTGGAGAGAATTCTAAGGTGATTGATAGTTTAGGATTTGAACTATGGTATTCTGAAAGGAGTCACACTAGAAATGGTGTTGGTGTCGTTATAGATATGAGTTTGAAGAATAATGTTATAAAAATTAATAGAATTTGAGATAAAATTATAGCTTTAAAGATTATTGTTAATGTTAAGATTATTATTTAAATAAGTGCTTATGCTCCTCAAGTAGGTTTAGAAATGTGTTCAAAATTAAAATTTTGAAATGACCTAGCAAAAATACAAATAATACTTCTTGAAATATATTATTTTTAAAACTAGAGGAGATTTAAACAGACATTTCGGTAGAGAGGTAAATGATTTAAAAACATTCATAGTGACTATGACTTTAAAGCGACTAATGAAGGTGGTAAGACTATATTATATTTTTCTTTAGCTTATGATTTTATATTTGTTAATAACTTATTTAAGAGAAGTGATGAGTAAATAATGGATATTGTAAAACTCAAATTGATGATTTTCTTATAAGAAAAATAGATCGTTTAGATTGCAGAAATTATAAAGTTATTCCGAGTGAATGTTTATGTACCAAACATTGTTAATTAGTTTTGGACTTTAAGATGGAGAGACAGAATAATAAAAATAAATTAAATTGTTATTCTTTGATTAGATGTGGGCATTTAAAAAATATTAAAAAAAAATTAGAGCAAGATTCTTGATCATAAGATTTTATCTATGCATGAAGAAGCTAATGTTATGTGGGAAAATGTAGCTAATGATATTAAGAATGTTGTAAATGATGTGTTTGGAGTATCAAAGGGAAAATCTACTAATAGTCAAAATAATTAGTGGTGTAATTAAAATGTGCAAGAAAATATAAAAATAAAAATATTTGTTATAAAAATTTTCTTAGCAGTAAAAAATCTGATAATTGGAAAAGATATAAGGAGGCCCGTAAGGTATCTAAGAATAAAATTTCCTATGCAATGATTTCTGCTTTTAATGATTGATATAATATATTAGATATTAAGAAGGCAATATATATATATATATATATATATAGAAGTTAGCTAAATAAAAAGATATGAGTAGTAAGGATTTAGTTCAAGTGAAGTGTTAAGGATAAAGATGGAAAAACTTTTTTATTAGAAGAGTATATTCAACAAAGGTGGATGAGATATTTTGCTAAACTTTTTAATGAAGATTATGAGAATGCAATTGAATTTAATGCCATTAAAAGAGAAGTATAATATTAAGTTAAGTGTTACAGAGATGGGGATGCTCAGGTGAATGAGTGCCTTTACTCTTAAAGACAAGATACGAAATGAACATATACGTGAAAGTTTTGAGTAGCTCCAATGGAAGATAAGATTAGAGATACTGCCTTAGATGGTTTGGTCATATAAAACGGTGGCCTTCCGATGACCCAGTTAGGAAAGTAGATGTATTAGATTTTACTTATATTACGAAAGATAGAGGTAGATCCAAAAGACTTAGCTAAAAAATATTAGAAATGACATTTCTTTATTAAATTTAGATGAGAATTTGACCCTTAACATGACACAATAGAGAAAAAATGATTCATGTAGCCAGTCCCACATAGTTGGATAAAGGCTTGTTGTTGTTGTTGTAGGCTTTAACGGACTAGTCTTGAAGTAGATGCACTTAAAATTAGTAATCTTTTTAAGGTTGTACTGATTCAGAAGTAGATTTTCACTTGAGACCAAGAATTGCTTCAAGATGCTTCAACATTTTTATTGTATTCCTAGAGACCGCAGTCTCCCATTGTTCATTTTGAACCAATTATTTTTCTAATTTCTATTTAAACGAGGGTACGAAAGTGAATGTGATCATCCGTGTTGATTCTCTCTTGGAATGAAGTAAAACACTGTTTGATAGTGTAAATTATCCTTTTCGGTATTTTCTGACTAGTCAATCATTGAAGACGTAGCAATCCTAAATACGATGGTTGATTAACCCGTGATATGGATAATAATTTGGATTGTCGGTGTGATCAGCCCCCTCGAGTCTCTTGTATTCTGGCAGTTCTAAACTCGCTCTAAGTGCTTGCCAAAATAATTTGGAAACACTTTCCCTCTTAAATTGCTATAGTTCTCGTCATTTTCTTTGGACGTTCTCCTCCATCAAGAAAGGTCTGGGGCTTGTCATTTCCTCTGAGTATCAACATTGGTTGGTTATTAGGATTGGCTGGTTGTTTCCCTCTGTCTTCTTTATAAACATGTTGTTTTCTTTTATCAACATTATATGCCCATTTTTTCCCCTTATGAACCTTGAAAGAGAATGTGGAATCAGTTTTTCTATTCATAGTGTCTTGAGTTGTATTTTTTAAATATATCGGAGTGGCCTTTAGATTTTGATAGATTTAACATTTCAAACATCGCCACTTTATCCGATAGGTCCATAAATGTGGTGTTAGAAGCCATAGAGGAGCCAACTGTGTTTTGAATAGAAGGCGTAGTTTTCGTCAATTAAGCATAGGTTTAATTTAATAAGGGTAGGCCTGATCATGGACTTTTGCATCTTGATTAGAGTTATGATTGTTCTTTGTTGACGAATATTTTCGTATCAACCCGACCCCAATCGAGCCCGACTAGGCTCGATCGTGCTCGATCGACCCAATCGAATGTCGTTGAGGCGAAATTGTCCCAAATTAAACCACGATTTAATTAAATTCCATTCAATTTAATTAAATTTGAAGAGAAACAAATCAAATAGAACCCCGTCGAGCGTCGTCGAGCTCAATTCGACGCGATTCGGTGCCGATTCAAGCTTAATTTCGCAAAATTATCTTGATCGGACCCAATCGGATCCAAACCGACCCAAATCGGTTTGAGTCGAGTCCGATTCGGGCTCAATTTCATCCCTAATTTATCAATTGGGGCTAAATTAATTTTTAAATCAAAATTTCCAAATTAGGGTTCAAATTTCATGTGAAATCCCCCTCATTTCCTTCGTTCCTCACGAGGGGAAGCCTGATTGGGCGAATTAGCGGAAAGGGCCTGCTGCTCGTGCTCTCCAAGAACATGCAAATGAGAAGGGGGGAGCCATTCGGCTCCCCATTTTTTCGTTTGGTCCGCCCCGAGCAAGAGAAAGAGCGAGAGAAAGGGGAGAGGCGGAGCTCGTTCGTGGAGCCATTTTCGGCTCTCCCGTGCGGTTCGTCCGTCCCAGGCGAGTGCGGGAGAGAGGGAAGGGGGGGTGGGGGGATTCCTCCCCCCTTTGCTTGCTGTCTTCGGGAGAAAGAGAGGGAGGAGCGGCCCTAGCAAGGTTGGCCAACCCACCCTACTGCCTTCTCTCGTGGTTTGGTGCGATCCTTCAAGCTGCCGGCGTTATTCAGGTGCCAAGCCCCCAAAGTCAGTCGTTTACTTCAATTTGTCGTTGATATCCTCTTCCTATCTTAAAATCTGGGACAAAGAACTGCTATAGTTCTTTTCTTTTGCCCTTAGGATGAGGTGGAAGGCTTCTCCTTCCTTCCAAATCAATTCCGGCGACCTCGAAGCAACAAGGAGGTTGTTGGAAGCCTCCAAACAGCACTTGGGAGATTTTGGAGCGCTTTGGACAACAAATCCACCATCTGGAAGGTTTGGACAGCAACAATGCAGCCTCCGAAGGCTTCCAAACAGTAAAAACTGCTGTTTAGAGCATTTGGACAGCAAACGACGACCTCCGGGAGCACTCAAATAGTGAAAACTGCTGTTTGGAGCATTCTTGGGCAGCAAACTGCTGTTCGGAGCAGTTTGGACAGCAAATCCACCCTCCGGAAAGGCTTGGACAGCAACGACGACATTGGGAACATCAACGACAGCAACTAGGAGCACGGATTGGAGCTTGGACAGCGATCCGGAGCTTGAATCAGAGCTTGGACAGTGCTTGGAGCTTGGATTGGAGCGCTAGGGCAACCCGGGTGAGGTAAAATCCTAAAACTTAGTGAAACCTAGGGTCCCCCAAGGCCATTGATGTGAGTTTGACGTCCCCAAGCCATAGGTCCCTTAGAAACCTCATTTGTTTGCTTCCCCAAAACCTATGTGCGCTGTCCTCTCCGCAAAACAGCGGAAATCCGGTGATTTCCATTTGTTTGCTCTCTTGTGAGATTCAAAGAGGCATGCCAACGCGTGTAGGGGTGTTGGATTGATATCCAACACCTCTCAAATACATGTAATAGCATTCATATTGTGTTCAAATCGTCGCCTATAACAAACCTAGGCTCCGTCGTCACAGCACCCAAATTTGGAGGCTATGCATTTGGCCAAATCAATTGCATGGTGTTAAGGAGATTATGCCAAAATTGATCTAAATAAAATAGTGTAGGTCTCTTTCTCTAAGGATCGCACAGTTTTAAAATTGTTGGGAGATTGTTAAGCATATTCATTTAATTTGTTGGGCAAACTTGGGTTAGATGTGGGTTTCCAAAGACTCATAAGACACCCCTTATGTGTTTTTGAATTACTTCAATATGCTTTGCTCCTCTTAATTCTCATGGATAAGAATGATGGTGAATGATCCTCTAGCATGCAAACTATCCAATTTTTGTGTCATGACAAAATTGATATAAACTTTGGAGAGTTTGCATGTAGGAATTGATAGTCTCTACAAGTTAGTGAATGTGAATGTGTTTGGTTGAAAACAATACCACTAACAACCGATCTTTGTGGAGTTTCTCATAGACCCTCAAAGGTCATGTTGTAGACCCCACAATGTCTATGACCAACCAAATTCATGATTAATCTTTTCACTAAATTTAGAGCACACAAGTGATAGTCATTGTTGGTTCATCCACCACATTTGGGATTTGGGAATGAACCAAATAGGCTTATCTAACCTTGAAGTGGGCTTGAGATATGACATGGCCTCAAAGGCCCATAAGCCATCATGCTCAAGTTTACCTCTCCATTTGTGTGAGTTTCCAAATTCAATCATTGAATGAAATGATCAAAATCCTTAGAGATTGGAACCTCACATCAATGTTTTAATAAATCAAATCCTATCAAAACAGATATTTAGGACCTTCCTAGAAAACCTTCGATCACCATTCATAACCAATTGATTGGACTATTCTTAGAAGCTTTGGGTGTGTTTCATGCCTTAACATAAGTCAAAATCATATTTCCTAGAGCTCTTGCTAGGATTACTAAACTTTCAAAGTTTCTATATCATGCCAAAATTGATCTAGAGACCTCTCCAAAGCCTTAGGAAATCATTATTCCCTCTCCTAATTGAATCCAAAACACTCTAAAAGACATAGGGAAATTCCTGTCATATGTGCATCTCCTCTTTCCATGGATCCAAAACATTCATGGAAGAATGGGGAATCTTCTTTCGTGCATAATGCTTGGAGCATTCTCAAAGCTCCAAGTGTTAGGGTGCATGAATCATTTGAAACTTGGATCGAAATTCCAAGTTCTCTTACATCCTTTGTTGGTACTCAAAACCAACAAAGATCTACTCATGCAAGATGTCCTAAGGCTCCTCGAGCATGCTCATTGGAGACCTCTCAAGTCTCCAAACATATCATTGCATGAATCATTTGGAGCTTGGGGCCAAATCCTAAGCTCCTTCCTTTGTTTGTTGAGTCACAAAACCAATAAATGGATACCCCTCTCTTTCATGTATGAAAAATTGAAGTCTCTAAAGACTCCAACTAATATCGTTACATGGTCCTAAACCTTAGAAATAAAATCTAAGTCACCAATCCTTTGTTTGTTGTGACAAAGTCAACAAACATTCATCATCCCTTTCATGCACATTGATTGGAACCTCCTCAAAGTTCCAAATGTATCATTGCATGACTCTTAACTCATCTTAGGAGCTACCACCAATCTCCCTATGCATAAGGTTGTAAGCTCTTAAACTTGAGATCTAACATCAAGTTCTTTCATTTCATTTGCTTAGCCACTATTTAGGCAAATGAACACTCCTCCTTGGACACCCAATGTCCAAGGAATCTCTTTCAACATACAATCCAAAGGTTGTTTGTAGCTTCTCTCTTCTACAACTTAAGAGTTGTAGAAAGTCCTATCATTCTTTTAAACCCAAATTTAAGGGAATATTTATCCCCCTTTGAACACCAAATGTTCAAGGACACTCATAAATGTGGAATCTCTAAGTTGCACATGATTTCCCCCTTTCTACAACCCAAAAGTTGTAGGAAAATAATCTCATTCCCCTGAAACTCAAAATTAGGAGAATGTATACATCTCTTTTGGACACCAAATGTTCGAAGATTGTTCTTGAACTTGCAACCCATAAGTTGCATGTCCCTCTCCTTTTCCTACAAGCCAAGATTGTAGGAGAGCATTTAAATCTGTCTTCATGCTCTCAAACCCAAGTTGGGAGGATGAATTCCCCTCTTTGGACACCAAGCATTCAAAGAAACTCCTCCAATTTGCAACACTAAGTTGTACTTTAGGCTACTTCTTATCCTACAAGCTTAAATTATAGGAAATCTCCAAATTCCCCTTCGTTTGCCTAGCTTCAAGCTAGGCAAATGAATTTGTTTCTTTGAACATCAAAAGTTTAAGGAACATTTATGAATTTGCAACTCACAAGTTGCATGTTCTTTCCCTCATTTCTATAACTCAAAAGTTATAGGAATTCCTCTCATCCTATTGACTCAAATTTGATGGGTGAATGTCTCTTTCTTTGAACACCAAATGTTCAAAAAAAATCTTCCACTTTGCAACCTTCAAGTTACATTTCTCCCTTTCTTCTCTACAAACCAAATTTGTAGAGAAATTTTCTTTCTTTCTACAACTGAAAAGTTGTATGAAAATCTCATTCATTCAACCCATGTTGAGTGAATTAGATACTTGAAAATCATTTATTTGTTGAATCAAAATCAATAAGTAGTCCAATCCAAAAATTATTTATTTGTTGAACCAAACTCAACAAATAATTCCATATTAAGCAAAGGAGTCAAACTCCTAGCTTGTTCCCAACTCTCCTCCAACTCCAAAGTTGTAGGAGATTTCCCCTTTTCTTTAGGTCCAAAAGCTAAAGGGAGTTTTCCAACATTTAGCCGAAAAGCTAAATGTTGGATTCCTTCTTTCTCCTCTTAACTCCAAAAGCTAAGGAGAATTCTCCTACATGTAGCTCAAAAGCTATATGTTGGACACCTTTCTAAGATCCAAATCTAATTAATCACTTTCATTCAACCCGAATTGAGTGATCTTTCCTTTGACATTTAAAATACTAAACCCATAGATGTCACTTAGGAATTATCCAATCCGTTAAAGTCCATCCTACCCTATTGGATGAATTTCACAAAGTCCTAAGTGCAACCCGTTAGGCATATCTATCTTACCCTGTTAGATAGATGCTTCTTTTATCCAAATGCTAAGAGAACTCTAAAATACTTAAAAATCACTTAGGTTCCTTTTGATACAATGATCAATCATCTCCCCTAAAAGGCGGGATGCCTACATCATTGTATCTTAGGATTCATAAGTAACAGGCTTGCCCAAAAGCAAGCATATAGTTACTTTATGGGTTCTTCATAACTCTCCTAAATATGAAACACTTAAAAATTAAATAAAATCTTTAAGTCACAAAAAACTTAAAGTGAAATTACCCTTGGATAAAGATTAAACATCTTCATTCCAAAATAAAACCAAACACTCTTAGTGTGACATGTTACACAAGACTCACACACTTAGGTGCACAACCCCTTAGGCATGCTAGGATTAGAATTTTCTTTTTCTGCGCATGTGTTTGATGTTGTGGAGTGATTGCCTATTGGATTGTCTGCGTTGTGCGCACTTGCCCTTAAGTGGATAGTGTAGAAATATACATGTTCTTCTTGCAGGTGGCCATATCTAAAAGGAGGGCGCTCATAAATAATAAATTGCTTGCATGATAGGTGCTGCTTAAACCCCCCCAAAAGATGTGGCCAATAGGGTAGAAGCATGTGTTTGACACTATAAGTGCTAAGCAAAATTCTGAATGTAATGCTTTATTATATAAACTGCTTCTAATCCACTGCAGGTTTGAGTCTCTTTTCTTTTCAAACATGTATTTGATAGAATTGTGATTGTATCAAACTTGTGGGGGTTTGGAGCAAAAGAAGGAAGTGGACTAGAAGGATGTACCTGTCGAAGGTAAAGCCCAATGTTCATTCAGAAGTCAAGAGTCCGAAGACCCCCTACAAGTAGAGTCTATAATAATTTGATTGGGTTGTATAATGGCAGACAACTCAGCTGCCAAACCTGTTTGTAATAACTCAGACTCTATTTACATTCTTTGCACTTTATTTATAAATAAAAGCATGCTTTGATTGTTTACCTGATTGTGGAATAGAAATGCATCTTTTTCCTAAGTTTCTTTCTTTGCTTTGTTTAGGTATGGCTTGGACTGTTTGATGTGGTAGGCTATTAGGACAAAAATAAGATTTCTACTCATTAAAATGTAATTAATCTAAAAATTGATTTATGCTCCATGATTTTCTAACAAATAAGAAAGTCTTGCATGGTTCCCTTCAAGCGGCCAAATTTTTAAAATGAAAACGATCATGCATAGCCCAAATGTGTTGCATATAGAAAACCCTCACTTAAGGATCATATAACAAAAAAACTCTTTCTTTCTGTGAGTCAGCATATGCATACTGATGTAGACAAGGGGTGGTCAACTCATATCCAAAATAAATCAATTTTGGCCTCACTCGAGTTTACAAGCTCAATCAAAATTGAGCTGAAATTTCAGCTCATTTATGAGCTGGTCTTTAGTTCAGTTATTGAACTAAGGGTTAACTCTTATTAGCTAACATTTTAGTTCATAGTTATCTTTTTATTAAATGTAATTTTTATTTATTTTTATGTCTTTAATTATGTTTGTCTCTTGGAATTCCAAACCGGTCTTTGGAATTCCAAGAAGTGTTATTTCCCATGCCGTGGCTCCTTTGCTTCCACGGTGGGCTGCTGTTTTCCGTGCCATGGCCGTTGGATTTCTGACCGGCTGCTGGTTTTCCGAGCTTGGGGGTTTTCCCGTGGCTTTGGCGCCTTGGTTCCGTGCGGCCTCTTCGGCTCCCATGGTGGCTCCTTCGGTTCCTGGGTTGGCCTGTTTTCCGTGAATGCATAGGGGGGTTTCCATGCTTGTGTGTGCTTGGATTCGTGTGTGAATTCAATGCCAAGTCTTTTCGTATTCTCTTCTCATACCTATATATATGAGATGGCTTGTAATGTTTAAAAAGTGAATGTTATGTGATTGATTTTTTGAAAATGTAAACCTACGGGTTTCGTTGGAAAAGCTTGCGAGCTTTGTCCACCTTCTTGCTTATCCCCTCCGGAAATCTTGCGAGCTCTTTCCAACATTCTTCTTGACTTATAATCTCTTTCGTCTCTCCGCAAGTGCCACTCCATCTGTATCCTTCTTCTCAAAGTGAAGCAAGTTTAGGGTGTCTTGTTTGAGTCCAGTTTGTAAGTGTCCAAGTTGTAATAGTTTTATAAAATGATATTATTTGTGTCTCTTCTATTACATAGTATAGAGTCTTTTTCCTTTTTGTGATAAAAAAATATAGGGTCCCCTATATTTTTTGATTGCATCACATACCCACATAATTAGGCATCTTGGCCATAAAACCAAGTTATAAGTCCTACCTTCTAAATAAAAATAACATTCACTCTACATTTGCATTGAGACCAAGACACATGGTTTTAAAAGCGATTAGGGGGGTTTAGCTGGTAGTCCCTTCCAGGCGGGACAGTAAATCCAGAGGTCGGGCAGACTATGCCTCATGTGAGGTGTAGTTTGTAAGCCCCTTTGCACTCGATAGACTTAGGTTCGAGGCACTACCTATTGGTAGTCCTTACCTTAGTTCTAGGATCTGAGGCATGGGTTGATTCTAAATCACCCTATAAGTCCTCACCTTTCGGGCAATCCCTTCAATAAGCATTGTTGGAATGTAAGCCCCAACTCTAATTAAAATATCAACTTAAACCAAAATTAGATTAAAAAATGTAAAACCTAACATAGGATAGTTTGAGCACCTCTGAGTTTCTCTCAGAATCAAGTGCTTCTACTTTATCTCTCTTGGCTCTCATTCCAAAATCTGACTCTAAGTTGATCAACTCCTTGAAATTCCTAAAGGACCAAATCCTTTAAATAAGACTTTCTTGGATTTCAAAAATCAAATTTAGCCAATGTTTAAATGACTTCAAAAAGAAAAGAAAATCAGTACTTTAATTAAAAAGTCTTCCCAAGCCAAAACTTGGGATGTAATTAACCATAGGGGCTTGCCCCAATGAGACGTCTGTACCCTAGGAATAAAATAAACCCCATTCGACCAAACATCGAATGGGGGAATCTCTGTTTCAAATTGTAAATTTTATTTTTGAGTCCATAAGGAAATGATATTTTTATCCTTCGGGATAATATATCAAGTTCTTATGCCGTACTCGATTATAAAGTATGCAATCCGTTTGAGGATAACAAAAATTCTCCAACATTCTTAACACGTGTTTGAATTTTGAAGGAGGTGGCCAACCGCACAAGTAGGGAATGCTAATCCAACCTTCCATTTGTGTCAACATGCTCTATCTTATTCTTCAAGTAATCGAACTTCATGCTTATGTTTTAACTTGAGTGTTGATCTTGATCTTGATATTTATTTCTTTCTCAATTTATCTGTCCTCTATTTTGTTGGGAGTTTGGTTAGCTTGAAGATCTCTAAGTGGTTTCTAGCTTGTACTTCTTTCATCCATATTGTATGGTGGTCTATCTGATAATTTTACCTAGCTGATCTCTACTTTACAATCTCTCATATCTTGGACATTCTTTGATATTCTGATGTTGTGGTGTTTCTATGACAACTCATCTTTGGTTGGATTTTTGTTTTGTGCTTTGTTAATTTTCAGGAGTTACTGGTGTATTGCCTGGTTTATTTGGATTTTTGTTGTGTTCTTGTGCAATTTTTTTTTTTTTTGGGGGCGTGGGGGTGGGTTGTAATCCCTATTTGTTTAAAGGCTCAATGTTTTCTGTTTTACTTAGGGTTACCTTTTCTTTTTTAGTGGCGAATTTTAATCATCTTGCTCTGTTTTCCCTAGTTAGTCTATTCAAGCAAAAAAAAGAAAGAAAAAAGGAAAAAGAAAAAGAAAACGAAATTTAAGTTGGTTTAGCACATGTTCTTTAACAGCTTCCATAGTACATCAGTCTTATTGAGCTTGTTTTTAGACAACTTAAATCGACATCATTAATTCTGTTCACTTTCGTTCATGTATATAAATATCCTGTTTACTACATCTTATTTTTTCTCTTTTTCTGTTGCGTATTCAATACCAGCGTAAAGAAATAATTTCTTCAAGCAGTATATCTTAGTGGACTAGAAAAGGTTTTGATCAAAAGAAGTAGATATCTGCTTCTTAAAATGTTAATTTTGTATTTTCTGAGTGTATTATGATCTCTTCATGTACACAAGTGTAGTGAGAGTTTGAAATGCTTTCACATAATATATTGCTGCTACAGAAGCAGCAGACTTACTGCTTGTGGGATCTGCTCGAAGTTTATGATTACGTGCTTTCTGTTTTATTTGGATTGGCATTACTTCCTTCAATAAATTAAATGACGTGTATTTGTAGGCACATGTTTACTCCAATGTTCCAGTAAAAATGAATGAAAGACTTCCAAAAAACTTGAGCGTTTGCTCGGCATTTCTTGCAAACATTGATGAGGACAAGTCAGTTGCAGTAAAACTTTTTGGCAATGACTACACTTTACCCCCCTGGTCAGTCATCGTATTAGCAGATTGCAAGAATCTAGCATTTAACACCGCTCAGGTGAGATTCAGAGCATATTTCACCATTTTCAAAGTGCAGTGCTATTGTGTGTGCTAAAGGGTGTGTTTTGGGCTGTGCTGTTTCCATTTCGTCTTCATCTTTCCACTCATTTCTGGTGCTGCCTTTTAATTATAGATTTTTATTTTCAATGAAAGACACTTTCATGCTTTCAAATTTGATAACTAAGAATCTGATAATTCCACGTTCTTTACTAAAGAAATGCTGAAACCGGTTCCCTTAACTAGTGGAAAAATGACTTTCTTTACTGAAAAAATGACAATACCAATGCCCTTGTCTCGTGCAAAGATTATACCTTGTGTACGCTAAATATGTGGTACTGGCAAGTTGTTAGGATTAGTCGAGCATGCCTCGGAGGACCTCAACCAAGATGCGCTCATCCAACATAGAGGGGGCCTTTCCTCAATAATGTCCAACAGGAGCATGCACTCACCCCTCAGGAGCTTGACCAAGGAAGCACATTTAGGGAGAAACTTTGAACAGCAGGTCTCGACCAAGGAGGTACTTGCCTCATGAAAACTCATCTAAAAGGTAAAGTCGCTCCTACCAAGGTGACTCGTCCCTCAGAGGGCCCCTAATCAAAAGTAAAGGAGTTGGACACCTACCACTCACATTAATGACCTCAAAAGTCATGCTAGTCCCGAGCTAGGTTCGCATGGAGCACTCACCAACGAAACTAGCTCGAGGCACTATCATGAGAAACACTCATCAACCATAGGTATTCACCTCATGGAGCTAGAACCTCATTATAAATGGCTATTCATGTGCAATCAGAGAGTCATATCTATGTTTCTATAATTGTCAAATCCATATTTATAGCAACATTGGCATTGATGGAGTTATTGGAAATCATCAACGGCTATGTTTACATTGAGGCGTACAACAACATGATTGAGTCCTCTTTCCCGACTTGTCCCATAGATTTTCCTGTGTGCAGCAACTATGGACTAAATGCTAGTGGCCGAAGTCACATTCATTAAAAAAGATTGGTCCGTGAGTGGCATTATTCGTTTAACAATGCAGTGTTTTCTACTGCCCTAATCTTCGACTACCAGATCAACATTTGAAACTTGTCAACATAATTTGTAGAGATGCATTTAAAAATTGAACTTGTTTACATTTTATCTTGCCTCAACTCCAGGTCCACCTTATAGCCTCTTTGGAGGGCAATGAGAAATTGAAGAAATATTCTCCCTACCCTTTACATTGGGTAAGGGAGAGCATCACGATGGACAAATTTATTATGGTGAACGCATATGCCACCTCTAATGTCATTTTTTAGCAACTGCTATTGAACATGAAAATAGATGTTGTCTTAACTTACCACATGGTGATCATGTTCCTAATAGGCGGTCAAGAAGTCACTGTGAGAGGTAACTTGGTCCAATCAATAGACTCTTATTTGAAAGCTGCGGTGAAGGTGATGTCGCAACATAAGAAGTTCTATATCTTGAAGTGCACAGATTAGGAATTTAAAGATATTAAATGTACTGGAAGAGCTATTAGGATGATTATTAATGATTTAAAGATTTAATGTAGAATGGATTATCTTCTTGATAATAGGAACCGAAATGATTTTGGAGAAGAGGAGGAAGTAGAGGAAATGGAAAGATCAGTGCCTAATATTAATGTTAATCCTGATGCACTGGCACAAATGATGGCAAGTATGACTCAGTTGATTCAAAACTCAAGGAATCAATCATTAGGAAGTAGCAGTGGCGGTGGAATGTCTATGGATAAGTATCTCAAACTATATCAAGACATGAGACCACCACTATGTAAAGGAGTTGAGGGACCAATAGAAGCTGAAAACTAGTTACTAAGAATTGAAAAGATTTAAGGAATGTACTGTCCAGATGAGAGAAAAGTTTCTTTAGCGACCTTCGTATTTGATGGAGAAGCTGAAAGGTGGCGGAGAGGTCTGTATCAAGACAAATTTGGAGGAATCCCTAACATGCAAATTAAGTGGAATGATTTTACTCAGGTATTTAGAGACTGGTTTGTACCATCTTTTGTGAGAAGCCAGATGCAGGACAAGTTTATGAAATTGGTGCAGGGGATAGATCAATTATGCAGTATGAGGCTGAATTTACAATATTAGCCATATATGCTCCTCAATTAGTACATAATGTAGAGGAAAAATGTCACTGATTCTTATTTGGATTGAAGGATGCAATTAGACAGCCTCTTGTTCCATTTTGATTTGAAGATTATCCAGTATTAGTGGAAAGGGCTAGGAGGATAGAAATGGACCTGCAAAACACTCAAAGAAGACGCGATTTTGAGAAGAGGAAGCGATGAAGTTATGGGAGCCCCTCAGTATTCACATAGCAAATCTCTTTCACAAGGTAGAAAGTTTAATTGAAAGAAGACGAAGTATAGTATCAGTGATAGTTTAAGTGTAAACAGTTGTAGCAAGTGTGGAAGGTAACATAAAGGCGAATAAATATTTAAAATTATCAATTCAAATGTTACTTTGTGCTAAAGAACAAAGATACTTGTTTTTCAAAGTATATGCAGGTGATCTTTCAAAAGTTAGAGACATCACCTTCTCCAACAAACCAAGGTTCAAAAGTCAAGAAAGAGTTTTTTGTAATTACACACTCCAACAAATTGAGCCGAAAAAGCTTGAAGTCTTTCGACAGCCTGAAGCTTAAGGTTCGAATAGGTGTAAGAGGTTGGATCCAACAAGCCCAAATATGGCCGGATCGCTGGCAGCTCCGTCTACTCAATACGCCATAAGAAAGGCCGTAGTAGTGGAACCTCCACTTCGTCAACCCGTCAATAGGGACTGTAGGAAGAACGAAGGCAAATTTGACTCGACAAGCTCAAGTGATCGTAGTCTACAAAATTCTCCCAAATGACTGAAGAATCAAAGTTCTAGCGGAAGGATGAGTCTCAGGCAATTACTAAATGTTCGTAGGCTCCCAAATCTACAACCACGAAGGATGACTCCATATCTGCCAACTTCAGTAAAGTTAGCATTGGGAAGCACAATTCCCACAGCTCAAGTCTGAAGCCTGAATGGGCGTAAGAGGTCGGATCCAACAAGCCCAAATATGGCCGAATCGCTGGCAGCTCCATCTACTCAACAAGCCATAAGAAAGGCCGTAGTAGAGGAACCCCCATCTCAGTAACTAGAGGATGAAGAGCTGTCAAATCCCAGCTCTCCTGATCTGATAAACTCAAGTGACTCAGATTAAAGTCTCCTTAAGTGGTTAAGGATCAAGATACTACCTACGTTCGGTATTATCAACTGAATCCAGAACCTGCAAATCCTTCAACAAATTTGTCAAGCATAAAGAGAGGATCGAAGGAACTCTTCTTCAACAAGTCCGTTAAAGCACAAAGCAAAGGACCGAAGAAAACTATCCCAAAGTTCACACAAAGCCTAAGGCCGAACTAAGAGGATTTCATTATCAACAAGTTTGTTATGCACAAAGCTCTGGACCGATGACTATTTGTCACTGACCTAACGTAAACCTAAAGGGTTTAGGTCACCGGCATCTACCCCTTCATCAAGCCCGACAAAGCTAGAAGCAAAGGGCAGAAGACATACAAATTTTCTGAGAAGTCAGTAAAGACAAATCAGATAATCCTTCATCAATATCCGCAGCACAAAGCACATGACAGAATGATCAGAATCTCAGGGCTCAAGTCAAAGCTATGGAATGAACACCCTGGATGACTTCTACAAATGTCCCTAAAGACTGGGGGCATTTAAATATTTATTTGGATCGATATCGTGCTGCATGCCGAGATCCCCAAATAAATATTTAAAATTTAGACAAGATATCAACCATCTATTGATACATCTAAGAGATTTATGAATCTATGGAGAAGGAAAAGAATAGTGTGACATCCAAATAAACTTTTGGAGACCCACTAAAGGAGAATCGTAGTGTGACATCCAAACAAGCTTTTGGAGATCCATTAAATGAAAATCCTAGTGTGACATCTAGTACAAATATTTAGAGATCCATAGGGTCAATTAGCATGCAACAAACGTGGCTCGTTCCAGGCGCGTACCACATTTGTTGGGGGGCATTTGTTGACCCTAAACTGTAGCCAGCAAAGCAGAACAAAAAAAAGAGAAAATTTCAAATCTTACATGCTCCCTGTCGAACCACGTCGCACGACTTCCTCCTACGTCGCTGGCACGCCGAGGTTGCATCTCCCACGTCGCCTGCACGATGCACTCGCGTCGTTAAATATCGAAAGAAAATGAGGCCTTCGGCCTCTCCTCTTACGCAATTCCTCTCTGCTCCGATCTCCTCTTCGATATCTCTTCCTCTCTCGCTCTCGCCTCCTTCCTGGTTGTTCGATCCCGTTCCATTTGCGACGTTCCCTTCGAGCCGAAGTGGAAGTTACGATAATTTGATCGGAATCAACGACGAAGCTCGCTCGAAACTTCCTACCCTTCATGCGGCTTCTCCGGTTCCCTCATGTTGTCCGACTTCGCTCTTGACGACTTTCCTTTCCTGACGAGATCGGAAGTTACAACAGTTTAATTGGAAGCAACGACTGTGAGCTCGCTTGCTTGAAGGTAACTTTCTCCCTATCGCACATCACCGGCTCCACTCCGACAACGACTTCCCCTTTTAGTTGGATTGGAAGCTACGACCTTTTGATCGGGACCGACGACGGGAGCTCGTTCCCTGTGAAGATAACTTTCTTCCTCCCGTGCACTTCTTCGGCCGGTCTTTGGCCGATCCAGAGAGGAAGAAAGGGTGAGGGATTTCTTTTTTTATATAATATTATTTATTTTATGTTACTTATTATAATTTTTATTAATTAAGTTTAATAATTATTTAATTATATAATTATGATTAATTTATAATTATTAATTAATGATTAATTATAATTAATTAATGATTAATTATAATTATAATTAATTTATTAATTTTAATTATTTGGTAATTAGTGGTTAATTATTAATAATAATTACTTAATTATTATTATAATTAATGTAAATTATAATA